GGTAAAGGAAAGAACAGGGGCTATGCTTTAGCGAGCAGTGGAGAGATGAGTCCCGGAGAGATGAGGGGGACTTTCTTGGGACTTGATAATGTGAAACTCAGAACTTAAGGAGGAGATGGAACTAGTGGCCATTGTTAGGAACCACTCAAGGGGAATGAATGAGTCAGAGATGTAGGGGCCCTGGGGTGGGAAAGAGCAGGAAGAAGTCACATTTCTATGACATAGATGTGCCACAGTGGATGTGTGTCATGTAGTTGAGGGCTGGATGGTGGAGCCATTATGATCTTCATAGTTGAGTTACAAATGTTTCCACCAGGGAGGCGACGTGTTATGTGGGTCCTGAAGAATATGCTGCCTACCATTCAGTGGCCAGAGGGACAGGGAGGGAACAGTTCACACTGCACCAGGAGATGGTGTGTTTAGAGAAGTTGAGGGTAGAAGGTGGGAATTAGACCTTAGTATTTGCAGGAGAGATGGGAATAATGGGAAATGAAGTTGGAAAGAATCAACTGGGAACAGTTATTTTAGGGAGAATTTAGTATCAGAAAAAGAAGAGTTTAAACTTCATGCTGAGGGCAAGAAGGCACCACCAGCTGTTCTTAACTCAGGAAGATTGAAAACCTGACTCTTACAGCAAGGTAGAAGCATGCTAAATCCTCCCAAACAAGCAAGTCACCTGTCACTGTGATTCCAGGCATGGTAATAGTTATGGAAACAAAAATGTGAGAATAGCGAGCCTCATGGCAATGCAGCTTAGGTATTCAGAAAACCTAAAGTGTGGTTACGGATGTAGTAAACCTGCCACTCATAAAATGGTGTGGCATTCCTTCATCAGCTGACATGAAAAGCTGTATGATGATACTAATCCCAATTTCAGAGTATGATGTTCACATGATCCACGTTCCTTTACAATCAAACATATATGCATTCATACATGTGTACATACATGCACATGCACATACACACTCAGGAAAGTTTCTGAAGGGCCATGCTGCATACTAGCATTTTAATTGTGACTGTTTCTAGGTGGGTGGGATTATTTTCTTCTGTTTTTTTTTTTTTTTAATGAAGAACAAGGGACTGGAGAGATGGCTCAGTGGTTAAGAGCACTGGCTGTTCTTGCAGAGGACCTGGGTTTGATTCCCAGCACCCACATGGTAGCTAACAACTGTCTGTAACTCCAGTTCCAGGGGATTCAATGTCCTCTTCTGACCTCCTCGGGCATTGCACAATATGGGTGCATTTCTATACATGCAAACAATATACTCATACACATAAAAAATAAATAAATAAAATATGGGGCTGGAGAGATGGCTCAGCAGTTAAAAGCACTGGCTTTTCTTGCAGAAGACCCAGGTTTGAATCTCAGCACCCACATGGTGGCTAACAACTGTCTATAACTCCAGTTCCAGGGAATCCAATGCCCTCTTCTGACCTCCTCAGGCATTGCATGACACAGGTACACTTACCTACATGCAGGCAATACACTCATAACATAAAGTAAAAAATAAATAAATTTTTAGAAGAATTAAAAATTAAGTAAAATATTTAAAATGAAGAACGAACCAGACATGGTGGTGCATGCCTGTAATCTCAGCACTGGAGAGGCTGAAGCAGGAGAATCCATGAGTTGTTGGCCGACCTAAGCTAGATAGAAAGTTCCTGGCCATCCTGGGCTACACAATGAGACACTGTCTCAAATAAGTAAGTGTATTAGCTTCTTTCTGTTGCTGTGATAAAACACTATGACCAAGGCAACTTCTAGAAAGAAGAGGTTTTTTTGGCTTATGATTCCAAAGGGAAAGTCCATAATGAATGGAGAGGCATGGCGGCAGAAGGTGGCCGGAGCAGAAGGCTAAGCACCCACATCTTCAAGCAGGCACAGAAAAGAGAGAGCAACTGACCACGGGAATAAGGCTTATGGACCTTCAAAGCCCTCCCCCAGTGTTGTGCGTCTTCCAGATGGCCACACCTCCTAAAGGTTCCATGACTGTCCAAATAAACCAGAGACCAAGTGTCCAAATACTTGGAGCCTAATGGGGGATAGCAAGAAATGAAAAACACTCAGATTATAATCCTGAGGATATTTAAGAAAAGCTGGAATTCCAGGATTGGGTGTTAAGGAGGGGGTGAAGGGTGACAGGTTTAAGAACGACGATGATGCTCTCAGTTTTCAGTAAGTTGAGTCTGAGGTGTCCAAGGGTCCTTCCTGGTGAAGTGCTTGGCAGGTTGGCTTGAATTTAAGAGAGAAGCACATTGCAGAGGTGAGTCTGGAAGTCAGGGAGGTGATGACTGGCAGCCTGGGTATCGATAGCGTTGCTTGGGGGAGGAGTGTGGTGGGAGAGCAAAGTTAGGAATTGGGCTGAGAAAATCACCCCATGACACCCCCGCTGAAGGACAGTGAGAAGGCGGCACTGGAAGATGCCACAGGAACACCGGGCAGAAGATGGAGATGGTGCATGTGCCCAGGAAGCCAGAGCAAGAAGAAGGATTGGCCGGCCATCCTGGCCGAGCATCTCACAGAGGTTTCAATGTTTTGAGAGAGTGCTGGCCCCTTTGGAGTGTGGATGCTGTTTTCTGTCTCACACATTTCCTGGGGATGAGAGGCAAGGCTGGGAGGGGAACAGGAAACTCTGCTGCACTGACAACCTCTCTGAGAAAAGGTGGAGCCAGGAGAGAAGAGGAAAGACATGTCTATGTCTGCAAGACACGGCAGCTGTAAGCGCCGAGCCATGAAGTCTGAGGCAAAGGCCGGAGTTACCTTTCAGAGTGGCTGTGTGTTCCTTATGTCACGTTGTTCTGGAAATCACCCCTCCATACCCACTGCTTCTCTGGCCTCCTGGTGCTTCTTGCTGGGAACCAAATGGTAGCAAACTCAATGTGACATTTCCTATCATCTTTCATCTTGTACCCTTTAACCCACATGAGAAGCTGATGACGCAGCAAGCACTATGATCCTAATTTTACTGCTGGGGTGACTTAGGTGCAGTGAGATGAGCCACAGAGCTTCCTACATAGGGCTGCACACAGGGTAAATAATGTGTCCAGGGTCGTTAGTATGGTGACTGTGTGGAGGAAGTCCCTAACTTCATACATGATTCTTCTTTAAATGTCTCATGGCAATGCAGTCCACAAAGGGGATAAGGACATTTTATCACTGCATCCGTGGATGGCTGCCAAAACTTGCCAGGCTCCCAGAGTTTTTCTCATTTCACGTTCTGTGTTTCTTTTTTTCCACAGGCATGTCAGCCATAAGTGTTCTCCATTTATTTAGTCCAGTTAGCATCCCTGGAGTTCACCTGCATCACCTCATTGCTGCTGAGGTCTTACTCTTTGCTTCCTTTTAAAATGCCCTTCCTGTTATTCAAGTTGTTTATTCTCCCAATTCCTGTAAGCCACACACATCCTCCCTACCGCATCTCTCTCCCCACTGCCCCAGAGGCTCACCATTTAGTACAGACTTACCTTGAACTCACAGTCCTGAGTGCTGGGATTCCAACTGCGCATCACAGCACTTGGCTTCAAATTCTTTCTTTATAGAACATCCTCATGTCACTCCAGTTCAGTGATTTCATAATATTTTAAAATCCTGTGATGGAGGCTTTAGAGAGAAGATTCAGCAGGTAAAAATGCTTGCTACTAAACCTGAAAACCTGAGTTCAATTGCCACGACCCACATGGTGGAAAGAGAGAACTATTTCTGTAAATTGTCCTCTGACAGACAAATAAATGTAATAAAAATCTTTACTAAATAATAAAATATTTATACTTTGTACCTGTGCTGGATAGCTTTAGTGTCAACTTGACACACCTGGGTTGAGGGAGCCTCAATTGGGAAATTGCCTCTATTGGACTGGCCTGTGGCCATGTCTGAGGGGCATCTTCTTGGTGAGTGATGTGGGAAGGCCCAGCCCACTGTGGGTGGTGCCACCTCTGGGCAGGTGGGCCTATGTTGCATAAGAAAGCAGGCTGAGCAGGGGCCAGGGGAGCAAGCCAGTAAGCAGCGTTCCTCCATGACCTGTGCTCCAGCTCCTGCCTCCAGGCTCCTGCCCTGAGTTCCTACCTTGGGCTCCCTGATGAACTGCACCTGGGAGATGTAAGACAAATAAACCCTTTCCTCCCCACATTGGTATTGGTCAGAGTATTTTGTCACAGCAATGAAGAACAAACTAGAACAGTACCTTTAATTTTATAATTCATTAAATACTGTTATTCACTCATCATTATACCTATTTCCATCACTTCCTGTATGTTCCTGGGTGAAACCCATCTATAGAGAACTCAGCATCTACTAAAGGGAAAACATATTACATAGGGAAATGCACTTTAGGAATGCTTTAAGTTGAAGGCCAGCCCAGAGGAGGGAATGGAAGGTCTCTTTGGAGCAGTGAGGAAAATGTTCATGTGTTGAATTTAGTGCTCAGTCCTGGGTGCTGAAGAGTAATGAGTGCTTCTTAGGCGAAAGGGAGTCACAAGGCAATGGGGAAGACTATTCTAGCTCAAGAGAATGATGGTTGTAGCTGGGGAGATAATTCATCAGGTAAAGGTGCTTGCTTCCAAACCTGATGATCTGAATTCAATCTCTGGGACCTACATGGTGGTGAGAACCAATTCCCATAAAATGTCCTCTGACCTTCACAAGTATGCCATGGATAGTATGCACACACACAAAATAAATAATGCAATTTTATAAGTTTAAAAAGAGAGAGCTGAAGAGATGTCTGAATGATTAAGAGTACGTGCTGCTTTTACAGAGGACTAGAGCTTGGTTCCCAGCACCCACATCAGGCAGCTCATAACTTGTGACTCCAGTTCCAGGGAATCTGATGCCCTCTTCTGGCCTCTGTGGGGACCCATATACATGTGTGCCCCCACATACATAGCTGATGTTAAATCCGAATCTAATCGATCTGACTGTTCCTGCTAGTTATTTTCCAAGGTATGGAACACATGGACTAATGGGCTAGGATCTGATGAGTTTGGGTTTTGTCTTTGCCTAGACCAGGGAAGCCCTTGTCACTATTCTCCATGACCTCCGACCCCAGGATCGTTTCAATATCATTGGGTTTTCCAACCGGATTAAAGTGTGGAAGGACCACTTGTTACCAGTGACTCCTGACAATGTCAGAGATGGCAAGATCTACATTTACCATCTGTCACCCACTGGAGGTAAGAACGATTCCTGCCAGCCTTTCACATGGGCTTCGACATGACCATAGGCTTGTCTTCTGCCAAGAGAGGAGGGTATGAGGTCTGAGGCTGATAATAAGCAAAGGGGTAACGGGCAAGAGTGTTCCCAAATGCTTGTTTCACTGAGTATCTAGTTTGTAAATTCTCATTTCCCGGCCTTTGAATGTCAGCCAAGTTAGAGGTAGAAATACCCGGCAAGAATTTGGATCCTGGACAAGGAAGCTGGTTTGGTAAGTTGTCCTTGGATGGAGAAATATATACATATATATATATATATATACACATACCTATATAGCAAAGACGAGGTACACCGTGTTGGGCTGTTCAGTAGGACCGAAACTGACCCCTGATCCTTTCTTTTCTTTTAACGTTAACTACTTCATTCACTCACTAGTTTATGCAACAAGCTCTTCCACCTATCTCTGTTTGTAAATTTAAAAAAATATTTTATTATTTTTATTTTATGCATATGAGTGTATTGCCTGCATGTAAGTGAGTGCACCCGTGTCGTGCAATGCCGCGGAAGTCAGAAGAGGGCTTTGGCTTCAAAGAAGTGTATAGTTTTTATTTGTTTTTAAGAATTGGGGTCTCATTCAATTGCCCAGGTTTGCTCTGAACTCCTGGGCTCAAAGGATCCTTCAACCTTAGGTTCCAAGTAGCTTAGACTACAGGTAGACATCAATATATTTTTAAAAGAAATAAAGACTTTATTAACCTGGCAACATCAGCATGTGAGTAGTCATTTTTATTTGTTCTTGTTTCTGTGTAAGAAGTAAGCTCTACACTGCAGTGAAACAGCCCTAAGAGACTGGTAATCTGCCCCTAATATGTCTGAGCATATATGCACATTTTGCAAATTGAACCCGTTACAATGCATAGCTTCACCTGTTCACTTGACTTTTACATTTTAATATGTCTCAAATGAAATTCACTGTCTTCTTGAGCCGTGGTCCCAGTCCCCACTCTCACTTAGAATTATTGCTGCTTTCCCCTTTTCAAGGTATACAGTATTAGAGGAAGTCAGAAGAGGGCTTTGGATTCGCCTGGAACTGGAGTTAAGGACGGTTTGTAGCCGCCATGTGGGTGCTGGGAATCCAACCTGGGTTCTCTACAAGAGCAGCTGGTGCTCTTAACTGCTGAGCCATCTCTCCAGCCCCCTTTCTTTGGAATATAAACTGCATTTGCTTTATTATTATTATTATTGGGATGGGCTGCACATGCCATGACACACATGTGGAGGTCAGGGGACAACTTTTGGGAATTGGTTTTGTCCTTAAACTTTTACATGGGCCCAGGGTTCAAACTCAGGTCAGTGGCAAGTGCCTTTATGTCCTGAGAAACCTCACCAGCCCCCATCTAGTGGAGTTCTTCTGTCTGGTAATTCCACTTTTGATATCTGGAAATATATAAAACACTCAGCTCAGCCTTCCTCCATCTGAAATCTTTCATTTTCATATGCTTGTCATTTCCCATCTAACACAAAGCCATGGTTTTCTAAATAAACTTTGTATAGAACATAATCTTACTTGGCCAGTGCACTGACTTATGTTAGTGTTTCTTACCAGCTATCAACGAAGTAGTCTAGGAACTGCTTTATTACTTGATAGGTGAAATGAATGATTAGATTTAATATTATAGTTATTACGTATGGGAGAAAATTGACTTGACTGTGAAGTACTTTCTCTTTGTAGACTCTATTTCCTAACATGCTTCTTAATGTGCAGTGCGTGTTTAGTGAATATCTGCTAAACTGAACTTCTGTTAATAGTATTGCTTAGTGTTTGAATGTACATGTGTGTCATAGAACAGCAGCAATCAGCTTTAGCAAACAGCCAATATGTATTATGTCCTTTATGGAATCCAAATCTGAGAATCCTTGTTTCTTTCCTATTTATTCATTTACTTACTTATTTGTACATGTGTGCACCTGTGTGAGTTTATGTGCATCATGTTCATGCAGGTGCCTGCATAGTCCAGAAGAGGGCACTACTCCCCTGGAACTGGAGTTACGGGCAGTTGTGAACTGCCTGGTGTACATGTTGTGGAACTGAACCCAGGTCCTCTGCAACAGCAGTATGTGTTCTTAAACACTGAGCAGTTTCTACCCTCCTTAATTTTTTTCTTCACACTTCATTGCCCTTGCCTCTGCTGGTGAACAGTAGAGTGTTCACTCTCTAAGAAATGTAACATCAAGGTTTGGAGCATAGATTCTGAAGCTTGACTGCCTGGATTTGAATTCAGCTCCACCACCTATTAGCCATTTAACCTCTACATGTCTCACTTTCCTCATCTATAAAATGAGAGGGTAATAACAACCCTCCCATTGGCGTGAAATAGGTTAAAATATCCCGAGTATGCAGAATGGCCCTAGCAGGGACCCGGTCCTCCTCCAGTGTCAGATGCTGTGTATTTTTACTCAGCTGAGTAGTCCTCTTGCTGGTGTTCCAGAGTCCCGTGAGCTGTCAGTGGCATGGCTGGGCAGCTCTGTAGGACTCTGCCTCTAGAGAACACCTCATTGCTGGTGAATGGACAGCAGGTGCCCTGCTTCATCATAACCTTGATTCCAAGGCCTGCTGAGCCTTTGATACATGTGTGCAATGATGAAAGCTAAATCCATGCCTTTGCCTTGGCTCTCCTTGGTCTCAGAGTTGAATGAGAAGTTTGGCACAGTTGTTTAGTGCAGATTAAAGACAATGCAAATGTTTGCAAGTTGTCCCTGCCCACACAGGCAGAGGCCATGTGAAATTAGGCAGGTGAGAAGGAAGGCAAATTAGTGACCACAAACAAACACTGTGACTCTTCTTTCCGGACTCCATGCACCGTAGCAAGACATAGAATGCATCTGTAGTGGCCTTGGTTTTCTGATTTTCATTTTTTTATTATCAGTTTTGTTTTTCGAGGCAGAGTCTCACTCTATAGCCCAGCATGGCCTCAAACTCTCAGTGATCCTCCTACCTCAGCCTCCTGAATGCTGGAAATATAGATGTTCATCACTATGCCCAGCTTCTATTTTTTGAGTTTTGAAAACTCAAAAGCAACAAGGGAAATTACCTGGTTCTTTCAAAAACGGTATATTTGGGGGCTGGAGAGATGGCTCAGCATTTAAGAGCACTGGCTGCTCTTGTGGAGAACCTGGGTTTGGTTCCCAGCACCCACATGGCAGCTGACAACTGTTCTTAACTCCAGTTCCAGGGGTTCTGACGCCTTCTTCTTACCTCCATGGGCACTGCAGGACATGGGTGTACTTACATACATTCAGGCAATACATTCACACACATACAATAAATAAAAATAATAAATAAAAATTAAAAAAATACATTAAATTTTTGTTGTTGTTGTTGATTGTTTTTTGACAGGGTCTCCCTAGTCACAGCCTGCCTGGAAGTCACAATGTGTACCAAGGTGGCCTTGATCTCAATAGAGATCCACCTGCCTCTGCCTCATGAGGGCTGGGATTAAAGGAGCACGCTACCATGCATGGCAAAAAGATGCATTTTGAAGCACCTAAAAACCACTCCACATGGGCTTTGGAGGGTGGTGATGGCAGCACAACTCTATGTTTTACAAAAAATAGAATTAGATGCTTGTAGTGGGAAATATTTTGCCACGTAAATTTTATTTGAAGCTTTAAAAAAACCCAGCAAATTAAAATGAGGGCTTTTTGGTATGTAAGTTTTTTCTCAAGCTGTTAGAAAGAATGATTAAAAGAAACAGGTGTTCAATATTACAGTAAGAACGCTGAGTTTTCCTCCTGATGTGGGGGAATGGCTGCTAAATTGAATGAGATTCTCAGCTAATTCTAACACCATTGTAATGGTGGTTTCTATCTTAGTCAACCAGCTGCCCATTCTCCATCAACCAAGAAAATACTTGCTCCCTACCTCCTCCAGATGCTGTCCAGCTGCACCTTTCCACATGGGAAATGTCTGGATCATGAGGTTTACATGCCTCTGTGTGTGTGTGTGTGTGTGTGTGTGTGTGTGTGTGTGAGTTCATATATATATGTGTGTGCATGTGTGTATAGAGGACAGAGGTCATCAATAGATATCTTCCTCTATCCCTTTCCAACTTTTTCTTTTTAGATAGGGTCTTTCATTGAACCTGGCGCTTACCAGTTGACTAGACTGGTTGGTCAGGGAGCTCTGGGTATCCACCTGTCTCCATACATTGGAGCTAATTTTTTTTTTGGTGTTTTTGAGACAGGGTCTCCCTGTAGTCCCAGCTGTCCTGGAACTCACTATGTAGACCAGGCTGGCCTTGAACTCACAAAGATCCACCTGTCTCTGCCTCCCAAGTGCTGTGATTAAAGGTGTGTGCCACCACGCCTGGCTTCAAGATTTTTAATGTCTTATTGCATAGGTTCTCACAAGCAGGGGTAACCCTGTAGGGGATTGGGCAAGAAAGGAGAGAGGATGAAGATTAGTTCTTTAATCATTGTAGTCTAGCCTGGGGAACATGTGAAGCCTCCTGAGATCATCTCCAGTTGCCCGCACCTCCTCAATTTATGTTCTTTTCTTTCTCCCTTCAAATTCCTGCATCCAACACCCTCGAGTTCTTTGCAAAGATATTTTAAGAAAAAAGTATAGAAACCATTAACACTAAGGTAGGGAAAACTTGTAAGCTGAGGTGCCACCAGACACCTTCAAAAGATTTTGTTGGGGGGTGGGAGAGAAAGAAGAAGGGGGGGGAGAGAGAGAGAGAGAGAGAGAGAGAGGGAGAGCATGTGAAATCAGAGGACAACCAATGGCTCTTTCTACCACTCTGAACTGAATCTCACTTAGTAGGCTGGCTGGCCAGGGATCTGCCTGTGTCTGCCTTCCTAGAGCTGGGAATACAAATGTGTTCCACTCAGGTTTTAAATGTGGATTCTTGTGATCACACTCAGGTCCTCTTATTTGCAGAACAAGCACTCTACTGACTTAGTGATCTCCCCAGTCCCAGGAGAAGGTTTTTACAGTAGGATAATTTATGCCATTTATGTTCAGTTAGCAAACACTTGTTGGGTTTTTACCCACTGATAGAGAACATATAACCTGGAGCCACCCAGGTACAGTGAACTTCTGCCATACATCTCTGTCATGTCAGTCCCTGAGAGATTGAAGGCTAACTGCGTCTGTGAATGTGCATTGGGGGGTTGGGAGGTGGGCACAAGGCCTTGAGATGTCCTGTGTTGATGTCCTACAGGCACAGACATCAACGGGGCCCTTCAGACAGCCATCAGACTTCTCAACAACTATGTGGCCCAGAATGACATTGAAGACCGGAGCCTGTCCCTCATCATCTTCCTCACAGATGGGAAACCCACCTTTGGGGAGACCAATTCCCTCAAGATTCTTAGTAACACCAAAGAGGCCACTGGAGGGCAGATATGCATCTTTACCGTTGGCATTGGCAATGATGTGGACTTCAAATTGCTAGAGAAACTATCACTGGAGAACTGTGGCCTCACCCGGCGTGTTCATGAGGAGGAGAAAGCGGGCGCTCAGCTGATTGGGTGGGTCTGTTGTCTATTTTCTCAGAACTAGGGTGAGGGGTTGAGGGTTGGATGCAATGAGAACCCAGAGCTGAAGATGTCATTGACTGGACTTTTTCCTCACATCTTTGGGAAATGAAGACAACTCGTTGCATTGGCAAATGCCACACTGTGTTTTATTTTTTAAATTAATTTTTAAAAAATTGCTTTGTGGTACTGGTAATTGAACTCTGGGTCTTGTGCATGTTAAGTGATTACCACTGAGTTATCCCCCCAGCCCTTTTGTTATTTTGAGATGGAGTCTTGCTAAATTCTCCAAGCTGGCCTTGAACTTCTGATCCTCCTGCTTCAACCTCCCAAGTAGCTGGGATTGCAGGTGGAACACTAGGCCTGGCTGATAATGTCTTTTGAAACCAGGCAGGTAAGGGTTTAATACCTCATCTTGCTTTGTACCTAGGCAGGCTTTAAGAATTTGCCTCAGTTTCTTCATCTGCAAAATGAGGAGTACAGTCAACTAACATTTTAATGAGAAAAGTTATGTACAGTATTGCACAGTGACTATTGCGTATTAGGTATGCAGTGAACTCTCTAGGTTAAAACTGTGTATTTTGAGTACTGGTGAAATGATCATACTGTAATTTTGAAGGAAAATGGCCGAGGAAAATGGGTGAGTAATAAAAAATATTCAGGTGGAGAAGAATCTAGAACGTAGGTCTTCTAGCACAAAAGTAGTGTGCCTCAGATACCATGTCACAGATTGTGGTGTTGGGCTTTGTTGTTGATTGAAATAACTGCCAACCGCAGATTCACCACTGCGGACCTCAGTCTGCTTGTGCAAATATAGGATCTATTTCAAAGGAAAATTCAGGTTTATATGGATTTATAGGTGTTCATTAGCCATAATCAAAGAATTTATGAAAGATAACTGACTGAATGACTGAGAGGTGCAGTCAGAACAGGCGGCTCGTGTGGAACCGGCCATCAGTTTTCTTTCAACCTCTCAATGAAAGATTTCAGTGAAACAGATCTGTTTCCCAAATCATAAAAATCATTCTAAATTACATTCAAAGAGGGAGAGCTTACTGAATGGCTTGACGCATCTGAGTTTTAATCACGATTTCTCAAGTAAAAGCAATTACATTGAAACCCATTAACTATGCTGTCTTACTAAGTGTTACCCATATCTGGTACTTACTGAGAACTCAAAATAAGCCTGGCATTTTTTTCCAATAATTTTTAATTGAATGTTTTTGGAATTTTATATAATATATTTTGATCAAATTTAGATCCTCTTCCCTCCTATCTGTACCCCCTATTACCTGCAACCAATTTCATGCGCTCCACCTGAGCCTGGCCAACCTACCAGTAATCTTACACTTAAGACTGACTGACTCTCCCCTTCCCAGTAGCCATTTGTTGCCAATAGTTCCTCAGGTAGGGTTGGGGTTTCTTACTGGGATTTGTCTGGCTTGAGCTTACATGGGGCTTGTCCATACTGTCACCATTGCTGTGGGTTCATATGAGTAACTGCCCAACTGTCTTGAAAACTCTGTTTCCCTGTGGTCATCTACCACCTCTAGCTCTTACAATCTTTCTGCCCCACTCTTCTGCAATGATCCCTGAGCCTCGGAAGGCAGAAGTTTGATATAGGTGTTCTATTCAGGAATGAGTTCTCTGCAAGCCTCTTATTGTCTGCACATTGACCAGTTGTGGGTTTCTGTGTTAATCACCATCTGCTGCATAAGGAAGCTTTTCTGGTGGGAGTTGAAGATGCATTAATCTGAAAACTTCATAATTTAATTTTTTTTTAAAAGCCAGACTTTTAAAAAATCTTTTTGAGACAGGGTCTTCCTGTAGCCCCAGTTAGCCTAGAACTCACTATGTGGACTAGGCTGGCCTCAATCTTATAGAGATCCACCTGCCTCTGCCTCCTGAGTGCTGGGATTAAAGGCATGCATCATTGCACCTGGTTAAAAGTCAGGCATCTAATTATTATTTTACATGTATGAGTATATTGCATGCATGTATGTAACTGCACCTGTGTCATGCAATGCCTGCGGAGGTCAGAAGAGGGCATTGGACCCCCTGAAACTGGAGTCATGAATGGTTGTCAGCTGCCATGTGGGTGCTAGGAATTGAACCCGTCTTGTGCAAGAGCAGCCAGTGCCCTTAACCACTGAACCAACTCTTCAGCCCCAAGCCAGGCATTTTTAACATTCATTATCTTATTTGAGTCTCACAAAATTTTAGGATCCAGGTATACTAGAGTAGAAGTTACATTGCCATACAGAGATCACTAGCTGCAAAGGCTTACCAAGCTAGTTGTTTATTTAATGATCCTTTCATAGTTTGCACAGACTAGACCCTACTCCATGGAGTCATTCAGGGACCCAGGCTTCTTCCTATTCATTGCTCTGTGCCCCACTCCCTTGGAAGTTATTCTTTCCTAAAAGACTGAAATTAAGTCTGAAATCATTTCTATGTTTTAGTCCCAACTAGGAAAAACATCAGAGAAAGGCAGTATAAGCTATTTTGCTATAAGCAAGTGCTTGGAAGATGCACATACCACTTACGCTTATATCCCGTTGATGAAAGCATGGTCTCATGGTCCCTACTGGCCACAGTGGGGGCTAGGAAACTTCTATTGTAGGTAGATGGACATGTGCCTACTTAGAACTCAATCATTATTTTTAAAAGGAGAGAATAGACCAATGGCAACAGCTAGTAGTCTACCACAGTACTACTACTAAAATTCCAATGTTATTGATGAAGTTCATAGAAATTAAGTCCTGTGTAAGGGAGTGTCTGAGATGGAACTCCAGAACCTTCACTCTCTAGATCCTTGGGAAGAAGGTGTTAATTGTGTCATTACTTAGCAAGAGGCAGCCAGATACCTGGCCCACAGGCAAAGCTAACAAAAGCAAACACTGCACTGTACAAAAGCACAACCTTAAAGTCATAGCGAGATTTCTCAAGTTTAACATGCAGCTTAAAATGCCTGGGTTATAAGGTGGGCATGGTGGCACACACCTTTAATCCTGCATTCGGGAGGCAAAGGCAGTTGGATGTCTGTGAATTCAAGGGCAGCCTGGTCTACATAGTGAGTTCCAGGCCAGCTGGGGCTACAGGGAGACCGATATGTGTGTGTGTGTGTGTGTGTGTGTGTGTGTGTGTATGTATTCAAACAAACAGATGTTTGACCCCTCCAGGGCCACCATGCCAGGCTTTGAATATATATTTTTAAAAGGTATTTCTATGTGTGCATGTTGCGGGGGGGTCGGGAAAGAGATATGCACATGAGCACAGGTGCCCCTGGAGGCCAGAAGAGGGCATCAGACCCTCTGGACCTACAGTACAGGCAGTTGTGAGCCACTTAACCTGGGTGCTGGGACCTGAATACCAGCGCAAGAGCAGTGTGCACTCTAGACCCCTGAGCCATCTCTCGTCTCAACTGTTTTTAAGCTGGATGGCGCTCCTTTTACAGATAGTGCAGCCTAATTTTGCATTGTTCTGAAAGCAAAACTGAGACCACTGAGAGGAAATTTCAGGAAGGGGGACTGTAATGCACTCTGAGGCGGGTCCTCCTTGTCAGAGTTGGGAAGCTTTGTAAGACAGCTGGTGCATGCTCATTAGAGGGCTCTACTCCCGAACCGTCTGCTAAGGGACTGTGCTGGGTCCAACGCTGTAGGTGATGCTGTGTGTAGTCAAGACCCACCTCTCTGACAACCTGGTTTCCTTTAGATGTCTCACCCGTACCCCAGCCAGACCCTGATTCTCTCTGTCCTTCCTCTGTAGGTTTTACGATGAAATCCGGACCCCACTTCTTTCTGACATCCGTATAGATTATCCCCCTGACTTAGTGGAACACGCCACCAAAACCCTGTTCCCCAACTACTTCAATGGCTCCGAGATTGTCATCGCTGGGAAGCTGGGAGACCGGAAGTTGGATCAGTTGCATGTGGAGGTCAGAGCCAGTAACAGTAAGAAGTTCGTCATCCTGAAGAAGGATGTCCCTGTGGAGTCCCGGAAGGTGGGGAATGACGTCACAGGAGCCCCTGGGCCCACCGGTGATGGCGGGGAGGACCCCAATCACCTGGAGCGCCTCTGGAGCTACCTGGCCGTGAAGGAGCTGCTGAGCTCCTGGTTGCAGAGCAGCAATGAAAAGGAGCGAGAGCAGCTGAGGCAGAAAGCGCAGGCTCTGGCGCTCGACTACCACTTCCTTACCCCCTTCACCTCCGTGAAGCTGAAGAAGCCGGGGCTCCAAGCAGACGGACTGGAGGACACCCATGGCATGTCTGCCGCCACTGGGCCCGAGACGGTGATGCAGAGCCTGCGAGGAGCCGGCGTGCAGCCAGGTAGCCCAGCTCAGGGATCCCCAGATGTGAGGAATGCGGGGCCTAAGCATCAGTAGCAACTCCTTGTAAGGCCAGAGCAGCCTCAGCAGAAGTCTGTTTCATTTTATCATATTGTAATTGTTCTAAACAACGACACTACATGAAGTGCACGGTCTTCAGACGATAGCTTACATAGCTGTGCTTGTTATAAACCTTAGCTCTCAGGAGGCTGAGAAACTTTGCCCGGTAAAGTCATCTCGTCAGTAAATTCAGAGGCTGCCACACTCCATCAGTACTGGACACACTGACATGGAAGGATAAACACAGATGCTCAGTTTTACATGCTTCTGTATATTTTATTTATTATTTTTATTTTATGTGTATGAGTGTTTTGCCTGCATGTATGTAAGTGCACTCAAGGTCAGGAGAGGGAATCAGATTCTCTGGAACTGGAATTATGGACTGTTGTTAGTCACTATGTGGAGGCTGGGGTTCCAACCTGGGGCCTTTGTAAGAGCTCTTAACTGCTGAGCCATCTCTCCAGCCCCTTACATGCTTCTCTGTGTGTTTAAGCACTTCAGAGTTACATCATTGTTACACCAGCTTTTATTGTCTTGAGAGTCTGTGGGCCAAGTTGGTGTATACTTAAATTCTTAGCACCTGGGAGGCTGAGACAGAAGGATAGTGAGTTTGAGGTCGGCCTGGGCTACAAAAGGAGTTCTAGAGTAGCCTTGGCTACATAGCAAGATACTGTCTCCACAAAACCAAACCAAATACTATATAAAATAAAAAGAACCAAAATATGAACTTCTGAGAAATTTACCCTTTTTTTTTTTTGGTCTTTTTTGAGACAGGGTCTCCCTGTAGCCCCAGCTGTCCTGGAACTCACTATGTAGACCAGGCTAGCCTTGAGCTCACAGGCAGAGCCTGTCTCTGCCTCCTGAGTGCTGGGATTAAAGGTGTGTGCCACCACGCCTGGCGAAAATTTACCCTGTATATACCGCTGATACCTTGGTGCCACCTGACAGGAGAGTTCGTTGGGACAGAAGAAAATTAAGTTTAAATCAAAGCAAAGGGCTATGTCACCCATACCACTCATTTGTGGAAAGTGGCCTGGTTTTTAATGTGTAGCATTCTTGCTGGGTTCCTGACAAGTTTCTGTCTCCTAGAAAGGGAACTGAAGTTAACCAGGCCCTCCAATCATCCCACAAATGCTGGCTCCCTTGTGCTTCACGCTAAACTCTGAGAAGCACCTGAGCATGTCAGAGAGAACGTGAAGTTAGGATCCATGGATCCCCCTGACCAAAGGTGAAGCCCGGGACAGCCTCTCAGGCCTCTCTGGAAGTATATTTTCTTGCCTATAAAATGGAGATAATAATGACTTCCATGAAGGGCTGTTGCAAGAATTTAACATGCAGTGTCTTTGGGCTTAGAATGAATATTCTATCAATATCAGATGCCCTCTCCTGTGAGGTGTGTGGCCATAGAAATTTATTGAGGATTTCAGGCCCTTATGGAGAGATAGAAAGTACTGTCTTGTCATTTCAGAAAAGAGTGGAACTTGTGTTGGTAAAGCTAATGAGATTTCATTCTGATTTATTCCTTTAGAATTTTATTTCATGTGTGTGTGTGTGTGTGTGTGTGTGTGTTAGTGTATTTGCATACATACCACCACACACAAGTGGAAGTCAGACAATCTGTGGGAGTTCACTCTCTGTCCACTGAGTGGGTTCTGGGGCTCACACTCAGGTCTTCAGGCTTCAGGCAAGCATCTTTATCCAGTGAGCACTTGCCAGCCATCATTCTGACTAGCTGCAGTAAGCAGTCAGTCTATACTTAGAAGATCTGTGCCGCAGCTGGGAAAAATGGCTTTTAGAGAAAAGTCTTTATTACATGAGATGTCTATCTTCAGGAAAGAATAGACACAAATGATAAAAGAACTAGAAGCCCAGAGCACAGCAGAGGACACAGCCAACTGAATGTTGGAGATTTTTGAAGAAAGACTTTCCTGGAGTGTCAGTCATCACACAAGATAATCTTTCCTTCAAGCTCTGATGATATTTTACTTGCAATTTTTAATAACTATTTTTGTCTGTTTGGTTCTTTTTTTTTCTGAGACAAGGTCTCATTGTATAGCCCAGGCTGACCCACAACTCATTATATAGTCCAGGCTGGTCTCAAACTCACAACAATCCTCTAGCCTCAACTCCCAAGTGTTGAGATATAGGCATAAGTTGCAGTGCCCAGCTAATTATAATTTCTAAAATTTGATTTTTAATTTTTATGTGTATTAGTAATTTGCCTCCATCTGTGTTCCACATGTATGCAATACCCGAAGAGGCCAGAAGAGGGTATCAAATCCCTTGTAACTGGTGTTACAGGTGGTTGTTAGCCACTGTGTGGGTGCTGGGAACTGAACTCAGGTCCTCTGCAAAAGCAGACAGTACTTTTAACCATTGAGCTATCTCTCAAGTCCCTAATTATAAATTTTTGAGTGTTTATGGTAGCTGCCACTCTTTAAACAATCAATCTAAATACTTTCTAGTCCTTCCTGGCCCGTCCATGTTCTGGCTATGTCCTATGAACCAGGGACCAGAATTGAGCAGGGGACTTATAAAACATTTATATATGTTGATCTTTAATTTTTATGAGAGAGAAAAACCAGCAAAGAAGCACATAATTTTGCTAATACACAATTTGCAGTAAGACTGATTTTATTTGCAAAAATTTAAGTTATTTTTAGGTTATTCATTGGGTGTATGTGTCCTGCTGGGAACTGAACATGGGGCCTTGAGCACACCAGGCAAGTACTCTACCTCTGAGCTATATCCCCAGCCCCAGTTCTTTACTGATTGACTATTTATAAGGTACACTTTGACTATTTTGTATTTCAAAGTGCCTAATGAATTAAGTGTATCCACACAGCTATAAACACTAGACTGCAATCATATCTTTTGGGGTGTTTTTGAGTCTTTATTATGATAAAACTATATAACAAAGTGTGCTATCTTGGGCTCGGGATGCAGCTCAATCGGTAGAGTACTTACTTAGCATTTGCAAAGTCCTGGGTTCTATCCCCAGCATCTCATTAACCACATAAATACAGTTTGACAACGCATACCAATAATCCTAGCACTTGGGAGGTGGAGGCAGGGGAATCAGAAATTAAAGATCACCAAACAACAGAGAGAATTCAAGGCCAGGCTGGTCTACATGAGACCCTGCTTCAAAAGATTTACCGTCTTAACCATTTTTTAAGTGTACAGTTCAGTATTATCCTAGTTACTTTCTATTGCTGTGATAAAACTCTGACCAAAAGCAAGTCAGGGATGAAAGGGTCTATTTGGCTTACTTGTTCCAATCACAGTTTATCATAGAGGGAGGTCGGGGCAGGAGCTCAAGCAGGAACCTGGAGGCAGGAGCTGGAGCACAGAGCATGGAAGATGCTGTTTACAGGCTTGCTCCCCTGGCCTGTGCTTAGCCTGCTTTCTTAGACAGCCCAGGACCACCTTCCCGGGGTGGCACCACATCACTCAACAATGAAGAAAATGCCTCACAGATATGGAGACAAGCCATTCTGATAGAGGGAATTCCCGAACTGAAGTTCCCTCTCCCCAAATATGTCAAGTTAACAACTGAAGCTATCCAGCACAGACATGTTTAGTTTATCCCCATCATTATGAAATAGACATTTTCATCTTGCAAAACTGGACTTTTGTACCCATTAAGTAATAGCACCCTATTCCCCTCCCCTGAAATTGTATCTTTAACATGTCAGAATATTTCTCCTCTTATATCCAGAGATTACAAAAGAGAAAAATCCCATGTGGTAAAAGGATAAACTAACCAAGCTTCTACATATCACACTTCACTTGTATATTCTGAAGTCAAATTCCTCTTTAAGAAACATGATGTAATTTTCTTTTTTACTAATTGTGTGTGTGTGTGTGTGTGTGTGTGTGTGTGTGTGTGTGTGTACATTTTGTGGAATCTGTTCTCTTCTACTATGTGGGTTCTGGGGCTCAAACTCAGGTCATCAGACTTGGCAGCTGGTGCTTTTACCCACTGAGCCATCTTGGTGGCTCTAGATAATGTTTTAAAGAGCTTTTATATTTTTGTTTTGTTTTGTTTTGTTTATTGTTAGAGATTGGGTCTCATGATACAGTTCAAAGCTAACCTGGAGCTTGTGATCCTCAGCTTTTCTGCTTGTTTTGTTTTGAGATAGGGTCTCCCTGTAGCCCTGGCAGGCCTAGAACTTGCTATGTAGACCAGACTGACCTTGATCTCACAGAGATCCACCTGTCTCTGCCTCCTGAGTGCAGGGATTAAAGGTGTGCATCACTATACCCAGCTATCTTCGGCTTTTTGATTGCTTATTATAAATAGATATCCAAAAGCACTTGTGAGTTACACCTCTCAACCTGCTTTTCAGCATGTCTCCCCACTGTCTCTGTAACAAATCCCAGCAGTGTTCTTTTCCTTGTCCTTTGCAGGACCCGCACTCAAGAAACCACACGACCCAAGAATTAAAATCTCTAAAACATCAGGTAAATAAATGGGTGTGATGGTGTGTGAATTGAGTGTGACAAACGTTGGGGAATTCCCTGCAGCCAGCAAATGGAAGTTCATGGAACATGTGGTCATGACTCATATTTATTCAGCAGTATGAGGCATGTGCTAAGAACCAGAACAGTGATAAGCCAGTACATAAACCTTGCGGAGGTAACACAGCCTGGAAGGAGCCCCGGTAGAAGCCCTGGAGCGCACACACGTGTTGGGATTTTTGCTGTATTAAAGAACATTGGCTTTAGAGATTTAAACTGTACCTTTGGTGTCCCAAATATAAGAATGATGTTACAGAAATAAAAATGTCTGCAGGGACAGGCAGGCAGGATGTTTTTAAAACTTTTGTTGTTTTCGACTCTGGCTGTAGATGGGAAGAACAGACTTAAAATGTTGTCAAGTTTCCTCTTGGCAGCTTCCTGGGATTGTAATGAAAACACAGATGGAAGGCTTTATTCTCCAATGTCCACATCTTCCCTTCTATGTTTTACTCCTTGGCTTTCTGCTGATAAACCTGATGTGCATGTTCGAAAAGCCAGGGACATCCCAGAGCCTAGCCATGGGGGCAGAAAGGCACAGTCTCCCGTGGAGACGATGCAGATCCTTCATTACATCTGCTCTATGGAATGCGAGAAACCCTTCCTCTTGGACGCTGCCTGTACTAATGACTTCTGGACTCCTCCTGAAGCCCTTGGAACAAACAGCATCTTCCCTTGTACAGAGATTTGGAGGATCTGAGTAGAAATAATGCTTTCAGTGCACACAGAAACCCTCAGATAACTGTCAGATAAACTATACCATACACAGGAATGTAGAAAATGTGGATGAGAAACTTCTGTCTCCTCTGGGGGTTAATTATTTCATTTCCATCATCAAGACAGACCCCCCCCCATGCATATGTTTGTGGAGGTCAGAGGACAACCTCCAGTGTCATCCCTCAGGCACCTTCCTCCTTTGGTTTGAGGCAGGGTCTGTCACTGGCCTGGAACGTCACTACGTAGGGTAGACCAGCTGGCCGGTGAGCTTCCAGGGATCTGCCTGTCTTTGCCTCCCATCTCACCATGCCCGAGGTTACAAGCATGTGCTACTGTGCTGGCTTTTAGTGAAGAGTCTAGGGCTTGAACTCACATCCCCATGCTTGGGAAGCAACTGCTTTTACTGACTGAGACATTCTCCAAGTCCCTACTTTGTACTTCTTTATGCTGCCATTCACGTGGGGCTTCAGGCACTTTATAGTGAGAGCCACCAAATTCTCCCGTCTTTTCTGAGAGATGGTGTAGGAGGAAAGACAGCCTCAGCAGCTAGAGATTTCCTGGCAACTTGAAAAGACTAAACTTCTCCAGAGTTCATGGTTCCACTGGTTCTACTCCACACAGACACACATGTGCGCATGTGTGTATTCACAAGAAGTAGAGAGAGGTACTTTGAAACGTGTTTCATGCATAAGTCGGAGAGAAACCGAATCTCCCATTTAGTAAGAGAAGACAATGGACACTGACTCTCAGGAAGTATTTAGTCCACAGAGGACTAGGAAAAATCATTAACAGAAGTGAAAATTGGGTAAAGAGACAGAAAACAGGGCCGGCCGAACCTCGTGGTCTCATCTGTGGACCAGAAGTTTTGAGCAATAAAAATCAGTGTGACTCAATAGAGATTTCCACCACCATCACCGATGGTGAAATGTGACAGAACAGGACACCACATGTCCCCTTCTGGCCTCTGAGCATGCGCACAGGCAGGCGTGTTTGCCCATGCATTTGCACGCACACCCTCTGCACACAGACTCATGCAAACACACACAAATCCCATGTTTTCAGCAGATTCACATTTGCGTTGGGCCAATTCAGAACTGCCTTCACCCTCAAGCAGCCTACAGGTGGACACCCCAGGCTGTGGCTTCTGTCCATGGAAATCTTACCATAGACAAGGAAGGGCCTTCATTCTTCATTGGGGGCAGTTAAAGGACAAAACAATATGGAAAGTCTACATGGGAAATTGGAAGTCATCGAAAGTGCATGGTGTATCTCTTCACACCATCTCGGAGCAAAGTTGTCTATATTTACCTGAAATGTGAGGGAAGCAGCTTTATATTTGAATTCAGGAGACCAGAAGTCAGTATCTCCCTCACCATCTTCTAACTGGGTAACATCATTACACTTCTGTGCGTCTTCCTTATTTAGGAACAGGATACTGTTCTAGTTAGGATAATAATCCATCAGACAATAGAAAGTAATAAATGCTTCTTTTCCTTTCCTTTTCTCCCACTTCTGATAGTGGATGGTGATCCCCATTTTGTTGTGGATTTCCCCTCAAGCAAACTCACTGTTTGCTTTAACATTGATGGAGAGCCTGGGGACATCCTACGGCTGGTCTCTGATCACATGGATTCTGGTAAGCTCTGCTCTGCCTAGCAAGGCCCAGAGAGAGATCATATCATCCTTTGTGATGAAGATGAATGACTTGTTATGGAAGGGAGGCATCCTGGATGCTCATCAGGTAGTGATAATGATTTGCCAAAGGAAGTGGATGATGATCCTGGATTTGCCATCAGATACCCTCAGTGTCCTGGACTTGCCGTCAGACACTCTCAGTGTGGCCTTAAGCATGTGCATAGCACCTGTACTGTCCTTGGAAATGGTAATCCTTGGCTTGTCTCTATTACAAAGTCAGTTAAACTAAATAATAGGTGTCAGCATTTAAGTGATATAGAAATTTATGACATATTACTATCGTCCTGTCTTTCTAGCCAGAAGCTGTGATGGTGGGGAGGCCAGAATCAACTGTCATGTCTCTCACAGTTGCTTGGTGCCTTAGATATAAAGCCCAGACATTAACCACTCAGCTTATGAATACATGTGAAAAGACCTTTGGCCCCTGGAGGGCTATAGGACTGAGTAAAAGAGATTAAGACAGAAAAGGTTTTTCCAGTGAAGGGCAAGAAACATTGCTATGGATGGCCATGTAGACAGCCACACAGCCCAGCACTGTGTGGACAAGCTTTGCTGTACACCTTGCGGTATTGCTCAGTGCTGGGAGGTAAGTGTTTTGCAAGCCTGGTTGCAGAGGAGCCCCACTATTAGCATGTGCCATTTGATTATGTAAAGTTTGATCCTTGATCTTCTTTATCAGATTGTTCTCTAGTGTCATTTCTATTGCTATGAAAAAATACCCTGACAAAAAGCAGTTTAAGGGATAAATGGTTTATTTTAGCCTAAAATTCCATATTATTTGGGGGAAGTAAGGGTAGCAGGAAGTTGAAGCAGGTAGTCACGTCACATTCACAGCGAAGAGCAGAGAGAAATGAATCCATGCATGCTGATTGCTTGCTTGTGTCAGCTGGATTTCTTCACGCTGATGCAGTTCAGGAGCCCCACCCCCACACACCTAGGGAATGGTGCCACCCACAGTAGGCTGGGTATTCCCACATCAGTTAACTTAGTTAAGGCAATCTGTGCCCAAGGCCAACCCAATGTAGGTAGCCCCTCATTGGAACTGTTGTGTCAAATTGACAGTTCAAGCTAACCATCACATAGGTCTTTCTAGTCTCAGAGTTAAATCTACAGTATTTCTGATCTGAAAGGTTATAGAAGTAGAGCTCGTAACCTAACTGTATCCATTCCTGGAAGTTCTTCTTCTCCTTAAGAGCTTGCCACTGTTGAAATGTGCAAAGTCCTTCACAGGTTTATGGTCTGATGCTTTGTCACAGATGGTGACACTGTTTGGGGAAGTTATAAATCTTTTATGAAGTGTGGCCGAGCTGAAGGAAGTAGCTCACGGGGGGGGTGGGTCCTTGGGAGTGTAGTTTGCCTGTCTCCTTCCTGTCATGCTCTGCTCCCTGGACCATGCCATGTGAGGAGTCCCACCACAGATCCCCACTGCACGGTCAGAGCTGTCCCACCATACCTTCCGCACTATGATGAACTGAAATCTCTTTGAAACCATGACCCAAATAAGCCTTTCCTCCCTTAAATTATTCCTGTCAGGTGTTTTGTCACAACAAAAAAGTCAGCAATATAGAGCTATTCCATGGTTTCTGTATTCCTAATGGTGTCCAAGATAGGAACTCAGCTTGAGGGTGCTTGGAGCTTTAAGGCTCAAGAGGAAGGGCTCTACTCAGGCTTGGATTTCTCTGTTCCCCCATCCCTTTACTGCATCAAAGGGACTTTTTTTCCTTGGATAAACTAAGAAGTTACTAGTCAAGATTTATTGGGAAGTTTATCCCCAGAGCAGAGAAAACAAGACTTAATTATACAGCAGTCTTTCTACTATCAAAAATTACCTCTTTGCCCAAGAACAAAACACACAGAGCGTGCACCACCTAATTCATTCCCAAACAGCTCATGGACAAGTTGCGTCTGTTCACTGTTCAGTGGTACATCATAGACACTGAAAGCTAGCTCCTGGGTCTTACTGAAGTCCAGGAAAGCTGCAAATGTGTTTATAATGTAGTAAGAAATAGAGTCACACTCGATGGCAATCGATAGCCTTCACTTAAGCCTCTTTCCTTGATACCTACCCCCCAATTATCTTATTTGTATCCCTCCTCCATTATACAAGACAAGGGAATTTGGGATTAGTCTTTTAACTGATGTATCTAAGGGTAAGCACAGAATAAGTAGAAGAAATCCAGTTTCTGAACTAAAAAGCCATTTGAACTTTGAATTCTACCTCACTGCTCAGGATCATTAAACGATCTCCAAATTAGAGTTGTTGACATGTGGTAGACACAAATGCCTATCACAGTCACACCACAGACTCCGAAGTGACACTGAAATGAAGGCACACGAGCATGTCACCCTCTGTCTATGACAGCTTGACCCAAACCTGAATCCTCCTTCCTGTAGCCACACATGGGAAGAACTCACCTCAGGCGTTCACTCACTCACTCAGTAACCACTGAGTGTTCTATGGGTGTAATTCAGACAATCCGACCTCAGTGTTGGTATCAGAGATACAACGATAAGTACAAGGAAGGCCAGATTAGATACTGTTCATGACTTTTTGTGAGACAACAAAGCATCAGGCATTAACAGTCTCCTGACCACAGAGGTTTCAGACCACAGCCCTGATTGAGGCAAAGCATCATGATGGTGGGAGCATGGGGCAGGGGCTGCTCACCTCATGGCTGACAGAAAGCAGAGAGTGAGAGAGCCAGTAAGAGGCTGGGGACAAGATACCCAAGGATTCATCCCTTGAGTGATCTATTTCCTCAAGCTGGTCTCCACCTCCTGAAGTTTATAGCACATCTCATAATGGTGCCACTATCCTAGAATTAAACCCTCTTTACATGAACCTTTTGGAGAGACACTTTATTCTCAAACCATAACAGCTGCATTTAGCAGGAAAGTGGGGACAGATTTTCTAACCGCTGTTTTCTTCTCATTGGCCTTTGAGGTGTGACAGTGAATGGGGAGCTGATCGGGGCCCCAGCTCCTCCAAATGGTCACAAGAAACAGCGCACTTACTTCCGCACCATCACCATCCTCATCAACAGGCCAGAGAGATCTTACCTTGAGATCACACCGAACAGAGTTATCTTGGATGGCGGAGACCGACTGGTCCTCCCCTGCAACCAGAGTGTGTTGGTGGGGAGCCAGGGACTAGAGGTTTCAGTGTCCGCGAATGCCAACGTCACTGTCACCATCCAGGGCACCATTGCCTTTGTGGTCCTCATTCACCTCTACAAAAATCCAGCGCCCTTCCAGAGAAATCACCTGGGCTTTTACATCTCCAACAGCAAAGGTCTTTCCAGCAACTGCCATGGGCTGTTAGGTAGGTGGCTGTCCATCCTCACACTGGGATCAAAAAATAGAATTAGACTTCCCAAAGTGAGGCTCACATGGCCAGTATCATGAGCTTGCTTGAAAAACTCAATGGGAATTCATTCAGTCATCCTTCAGTATCTGCTAGGGCTATGGTTGCAGGATCTCTCAAGGTCGCTAAAGTCCAAGGATGTTCAAATTCCTTGTATAAAAGGTGGAGAATTTGTATAAAACCTATACCCATCCTCCTCCATGTATGGATTATTTAACATACTTAATACAATGTTGGTGCTGTGTAAGCAGCCATACTGTATTGTTGAGAAGGAAGTCTAGTACTGGTGCTTTCCCCCCAAAATATTTTTAATCCATGCTTGATAAAATCCATAGCTACAGAATCTTTGAATATAAAAGGTCCAACTGTATATATCATCTGAAATTGGATTTCCTTTTTTTGTGTGTGTATGGGAGTTCCTGTGTGCATGGGTACATGTGTTGGGGGGTCAGAGAACACTTGAGTGTTGTTCCTTAGGCACCACGATCTTCCAGGGAGCCTCCTGTTTCGGCCTCCCATCTCACTATATCTGGGATCACAATCAGTACTGCCATGCCCAGCTTTTCAGCTGAGTTCTGGAGGTGGAACTCAGGTCCCTACTCTTGCACGGCAAGAGCTGTAGTGACTGAGCTGTTCCCGTAGCCCTGAAAACTAGATTTGTGCTCCTGATGATTTTCTGGAGTTGGAGTAGGCCTTATACACTAGTTTTCACTAGACTTCTGAGAATTCGAAGAGACGAGGCACCCTCATCCTAAGGGCTGGTTTCTTGCCATTCGGCAAGAGAAAACAAATCCAGGGCAGTCCGGGCCCAGCACTGAGTACTAGAGACGGATGCCTTTCCTAAGAGTCATCTGTATCACAGTGAAGCAGCAGGCAGGCCACTCTGGCTGACTTTCTTCAATATGCAGTTTCATGTGGGCTCCTTGACAGTGAGTCATTTTCAGGGCTCCGTTTAGAAGGCAGGATTTCCTGGCACTTGAGCTTGGTGTGTTGTCTTGCCTGACTGCCAAGCATGAGCTTCTCACAGATGCAGAGCTGTATTCTCTTGGCCTGAGCAATGCCCTTACTTGACTTGGAGAATTCTGAGGCTGAGTGTTGGGCGTGAACTGAGCTGACTACTTCCACTACCCCACCCCAGGGCATACTCAGCACATGGATGGCGTGGAGAAGGATCTGTTCTTACTGGGGAAGGGAAAGGAAAGGCATGACCCTATGTCCTACTTATCTGCTCCCTTCTTGTCCTCCCGATTCAATAGGAGTCTCCACTTGTCTCCGTTTGTTGTCTGGGCAGCCCCGAAGGGGCAGACTACAGTGAGGGGAATCTCAGCTCTTCCTTCTCCACATGCTCTGGTGCACAGACTCCATCAGTGGGCTCAGCCATGCATGAATGAATGCTTCCAGGGAGACTGCAGCCTAGAACAGTGGTCCATGAACCGCCTCCTGCCCCTGCACCACTAAGGTTAGATTTCAGCTCTTGTCTGCTTTTAATTTACATCAATGATTTTTTTTTTCTTTTTTGTCTGCTCAGGTCAGTTCCTAAACCAAGATGCCAAACTCACAGAAGATCCTGTAGAGTACAGCAAGAACCTTACTAATCCTCCATTCCTTCAGGCGGAAGGGACCCCTGAGACTATCCTAAAGGTGAAAGGACGCCGAGTTCCTGTGGTCTGGAAACAAAGGAAGATTTACAATGGGGAAGAGCAGGTAGACTGCTGGTTTGCCAGGAACAACGCAGCCAAGCTGATTGACGGGGCGTATAAAGATTACCTGGCATCTCATCCATTCGACACAGAGACCATGCTGGGCCTGACAACGTCCAGGCGATCTGAAACTGGCAGTCTTCTTGATAAGAGGGTCTGAAAGGACAGTTGACTTTGGGTCTACCATGGATGCAGTACTTGTTGCTTGTGATGCTTTGGCTCTTACAAGGAGTTGCACTGTGTAGCCTGCCTCCTGGTGGAATGGAGGTCTAATGTCTACCAAAGGAAGGGGTGGAGGTAGGAAGCTTGAGTGAAAATACTAGTTCTTCCTGTCCCCTTCCTCCCCTCCTTGTCCCCCTTCTACAGTAGAGTGGAACGGCAGCACTGTGGGGGAGGTGGGCAGCAGGTGTAGTTAGATGAATTTTACAGCACCCGGCTTCTCCATCTCCTGTCTTCCATAAAGTAACTCCTTCTGATGAAGCAAGGTTGCTATGAAATTTGTGTCCTCTGCTGCAGCAGCTAAGTTTGGGCAGTCTGCTTTCTGCCCTGTGTGCACGCTTAGGAATCTCTCTTTTCAATTGTGTTCTCCAAATACGTAGCCAACCTCCTCTTCCAAGGAGGAGGCCATTCCACAATCACATAAGCCAGCAGTATATACATTGGATCATTGTAAATAACCAAGTCTTTTCTTAGTAAAGGGTTTTCTTTGGCTGTAAAATCTTGCAAAATTAGTTTTCATTTTATAAAATTGCTTAAAAGTAGAAAAAGCTGCATCCCAGATACTGATCTCTCTTCATTGGCTTAGTAGACCTCCTGGCTTTGCTGGTGCGTCTTCTCCAGTTTACTCCAACAAGCTAAGTGCTTTTTAGTAAGTAGGACAATCCCAGGTGGGTGGTTTTTGCCGGTCTGTCTTGATGCTGGAGAGCCAGCCGGTTGAAAGATAAATCTTTCACTTGGAGTACTTTAGCTTTGTCATAATCTCAACACGTTATTCTTTGACTGACAAATAATAAACGACATGTGCTGAGTGAGCACTGGCATGAGAGATAGAGCCAGCCCAATCTTGCAAAATTAGTTTTCATTTTATAAAATTGCTTAAAAGTAGAAAAAGCTGCATCCCAGATACTGATCTCTCTTCATTGGCTTAGTAGACCTCCTGGCTTTGCTGGTGCGTCTTCTCCAGTTTACTCCAACAAGCTAAGTGCTTTTTAGTAAGTAGGACAATCCCAGGTGGGTGGTTTTTGCCGGTCTGTCTTGATGCTGGAGAGCCAGCCGGTTGAAAGATAAATCTTTCACTTGGAGTACTTTAGCTTTGTCATAATCTCAACACGTTATTCTTTGACTGACAAATAATAAACGACATGTGCTGAGCACTGGCATGAGAGATAGAGCCAGCCCAGAGTGAGCCCCTCCAGTCTACCTGAAGAAAGGATCAACTTGCACATTTTCAGCAGGAAGAGTATACATGCTTGGAAACATGGCTGTTATACCCATGAACTGATAGTTGTGGTGGCTACCTGCATACGGCCTGTAGAACACAGGGCCCACCAATATTCTATCGTGGATGGGGGAAGAGCGCATGAGATTAAACTCCTCCCTAAAGAGCTATAGGTGGTCAGTAGTTGCTGGGGGGGGTGGGGCGTAGTCATCAATGGTGTAGTCACTAGTTAGTTGCCCTTGTACAAGTAAATAAACCCCAACTTATTACACATAAGCCTAACTGATTAAATTCCAGGAGTCACCCCCACATCAAAGACATGAACACGGGAGGGGGATTTATTACGATGAAGAAGGTGTTCACAAATGGGGGAGGGGATGAGAGAAGACAGTGGAGGTAAATGTGATCAAAGTATATTATGTATACATATGAAATTATGAAATAAAAGAAAATCTAAGAAGACATTCCACATTTCAGATGAATAAAAGCCAGGAAATCAGTGTAGATTTTAAGTCTAGAGTCTAGGCAAATATGAGCCCCTAAGGGAGAGTTTATAATCAAGGGAAGCTTCAAAAAAGACCAGTAAGTGTGACCCTCTTACTGTGAACATGCCCCATCAAGTCTGGGCATCTTATCTAAGGACGAGGAGGATGCTGGAGCCCTGAAAATCTGTATTCTCACATTTCTTACCCTTTTCTGTGGTGCTTGGGCTTCTCAGGAGCCTGCTTGGGCACAGGTGAACACAGGGAGTGACCGCAGGGAAAGAAAACAACATGATCTAGAAAATAGAGTATTTTGCTGGAGACTAGAGTAGTTGGCTTCTGTGCTGTCCTCACACAAGGTTTCTTCCACTGGGCATCATACCAGGCAGTCTCTACAATCAAACTGAAAGGCGTGCTTAGCACTTGGGGAGATCCGCGTTGAGAACATGGTTTGTCCTGTTTACCTTCCCGTGGGAAGCATTGAAAAGCAGCAGGATGACATCCACATGTTTCTGTCTGACCCAGCCACCTCAGGAGCCAGCAGGGCTGCGTGACTGTGCAATCCCTTTTGAATCTTTCTCTGCTCTGAGAACCCGCCAGGCCATGGCTGGTCAGCTGAGCTGTTTATCTGACTCCTCATCCTCTCAAACGCAGCTGCCTGTTTTCAGGGCAGAAGTGCACAGATGAGCAGCCATATTGCTGCCAGATGCGCCCGTCCTTTAGAACTCAGAGAAAGAGCAGGAATCTCAGCCAGGCCTCACTGGGGCTGGTCCCCTGTCATGTTCCAGGGATCTTATTACATAAGTCCCAGCTGGATAGACAGCTCTGGAGCCGGGACCCCAGGCCACGGGGTTGCTTTCAGAGCAATGGTGTGGGTGTGTTGTTTAAGGCAATGACTTTGCCACCGAACAAAAAAAATCACTGGTTAAAACCAGTTCCTACTGTGTCTGCTGCTACGTTGGCTAAGAGCAGACGCACAGTCCAATGAGCTACCCACCACTCCTGCTAGAAAAGAAATCAAGGTCAAACGTGTCAGAGCTTTTACTTTTAAAAAGTTATTTTTAGACCGGGTGTGGTGGCGCATGCCTTTAATCCCAGCAGTTGGGAGACAGAGGCAGGCGGATCTTTGTGAGTTCGAGGCCAGCCTGGTCTACATAGTGAGTTCCAGGATAGCTGGGGCTACAGGGAGACCCTGTCTCAAAAAGACAAAAAAAACAGTTATTTTTACTTCGGACAGACACTTATTTCCTCCTCTTCTATAGCTGAACCCCTCCCCGCAAAAGATGTACCATTAAATTATCTGATCTAGATGGAAATTTGTATCTGGGAGCCCAAAGCCTCAACCAAAGTTTTTAATTTTACTCGGCACCTGTGTCGCAGATAGAAAACTCAAGAAACTGCAAAAGAAAAGACTATTGGGGAAACTGAGGCAGCTGAACAATTTTCCCCAAGTTATATAAAAGGCTTAGAGGATAGCTGAACCTGCTGAATTCGCTTGTTAGCATCGACACTTTTTCACCATCTGGATAACCACTTATTTTCCTTAAGCTTTTTGTAAAAGTGAAGTGGGCGATTACTAAATGCATAATTGAGTCGGCTGGAGAAAAATGTTGAAATTAAGGAGCTAAATCACATTGTTATTAAAGTAGCTAATGCTAATGAGTCAAATGGACTATCTGGGATGTTGTCAAGGTGACACCTCTGGCTTCCAGTCCCTGTCTTTTTCTGTTTCTTTTTTATGTGTATGAATGTTTTGCACACATGTATTTAAATTTACCATGTGTGTGCAACGCCTATAGAGATCAGAAAAGGGCATCAGATCCCCTGGAACTAGAGTTATGTATGGTTGCTAGCTGTCATGTGGGTACTGGGAAACAAATCCGGGTCCTCTGCAAGAGTAGCTAGGGGTCTTAACCACTGAGCAATCTCTCCAGACCCTCCTCCCTTTTCTGATGAAGAAAGGCATCAAAATGGCTCATTTTAAAGGTCTTATCATTAAAGCTTCTTATTACCAAAATGAAATGACCCCTTCCCCACCCATGCCATGTGCTTTATCTTCCTCCATTCAAACTTTTAGTGAACTACCACTTCAGGCTGGAGCCTGGGGACATCTGGCAGGAGGAAGCATCATCACATTCCATGTGAACCAGGTGACTGAGCTGAGAATGGAGGGACTAGAAATCGGAGAGAACACCTCTTGGTCCTATGAGGAGTGACAGTCAATATTTACTTGAATCATGTGTCCTCATAGATGGATTAGGAACAGGATATTTTGAAAGAATGGATGCTGCTGATTGAATGTGTCCTTTCAAAAGTCATACACTTAAGCCTGGTCCTTAGAGGTGGAATCTTTCAGAAGTTATGAGATCCTGAGGACAGAGCCCTTACGAGTTGGTTTAAGATGTGTAGAAGAGACATAAAGGGCTGAGGAGGTAGCGAGAGTGAATTGCTTGCCTTGTAAGCATGAGGAACTGAGTTCAATCCCCCAGGACTCATGTAAAGCCGGACATGGTGATGTATGATTATAATCCCACTGCTGGGAAGGCAGAGGCAGGCAGATCCCCGGCCAGTTGGTCTAGCTTACTTAGTGAGTTCCAGGTCAGTGAGATAATACGCCTCACAAAAAAGGAAATTAGGTGGTGTCTGAGGAACAGAAGGCAGGGTTCTCTTATGGACTTTACACATAAATACACACCAGCACACATATCTGCACCTACCCATGAACATACATATGCGAAGAAGAGACATGAGAGACACCATCTTACTCGTCTCTACCATGTGAGAATACAGTGTGAAGATAACTAAACACAGCCAGGACCCTCACCAGACAGCAGATCTGCCGGTGCCTTGATTTTGGACTTCTCAGCCTCCAGACCTGTAGCAATAAATGCTTTTCATTTAAACCACCTGATCTATGATATTCTCCTCATAGCAGCCCAGGCTCCCTGAGACAGTAAATCATCCAAAATACAAATTAGTTTTCCTTTACTCAGGCTCCTCAGAAAACACAAAAGTAATGCGGTTATTACAATTTGAAGATCACTTGGAGCCATAGAACAGGATCCAGCTAAAATAAACAGCAAATGAAATAACACAGCTAACCAAATACTTAGAAACATAACGTTAAATATTTATTTTAGTCTGTTTTAAATAATAAGTAGGGTTCGAATAGTTCACATTTCAAGAGATTTTTTTGCTTAAACAAAAGTTTGTAAGAAAATTATGTATAAAAACAAACAGCAGACTATGTTTATTTCTTAAGGGGAAATGGAATCAGGGCTACTGAGAATAAAGCTTGATGATTCTAACCACACTGCTTGTTTGTAGAGATTTCTGCATCTAAGTCATGAACTGTAGAACCATCTCTGTGTTAATGATGCACCATATATATGACAACAGTCCTGTAAGATTATAATAGAGCTGAAATTTCTATTGCCTAATATTTTACTGTATTTTTAATGTTTAGATGTGTTTATATACACAAATACCATTGTGTTATAATTGCTTACAGAATTCAGTAGTCACCGCTACACAAGTTCGCATTCTAGGAGCTATAGGAGATGCCATCTAGCGTTGGTGTATAATAAACAATGCCATCTAGGTTTGTGTATATATCTTCTGTGGTGTTTGCAAAACAATCAAAATCACCTTCCAACACATTTCTCAGAATACATCTCCTTCAGTGGCACAGTTGTATGTACAATGAATCAGCGGAATGGTGACATTGGAAAAGCAATGCGTTGGAGAGAATAGGAAATTTACAGGAGCCACCACTGCGTGCTTATGAAGCTAGCAGATACATGAGCATGTTGGACTCCTTAGTGTGTTACCATGGGAATCATCCCAGGTGTTCACTGAGTATTGGACTCCTCTGTGTTACCGTGGGAACTCCTCTCATACGCTCATCCCCTTCTTCTTGGGTCAGTCATTTCCACACAATTTGCCCATCATCTTGCTTAGCACTTCTTCCATTTGGCTCAGAGTCATTTTCCCTCCAGAGGTACTGTTGTGGTTTGAATAAGAAATTCCCTGCATAGGCTCAAACA